ACCGAAGAGTTGAGTGGAGGAAGGTAATTACAGAGATTACTTAAGGCCCAAGAAGTACAACTAGGTGACTGGGCTCATAAAAGTCAGGGGATTGGCTTCAGAAAGGGACAGGACACCTGTGTCAGGTTCCCAAGGCTCTAAGCAGAGCTGATTTGGGGGATGAGAGGAAGGCAGCCAGCAGGGATGAGAGCGAGAGGGACCGTGCAGGGGGTGTGGAATCCTGGCTGTGGAGGGAAGGAGCAAGAGAAGACAGCTTGAGCGGTCTGCCAAGGCTAAGAAATGCTTGTCACTTTGGAGACTGAGAGAGAAGCTGAATAATATAATACATAAAAGAGAGGGGACACCTAGTGGAGGAAACCCAGGAGATGAAATCCAGACGAGAAGGAAGAATGGGGAGTAAAAGCAGAACAAGACATTTTAAAGAATGACAAATTGACCATGAGATGGGCTTGGCGCCATCACAGGGTGCTCAAAACTGGGGTACCCTGAGAACTGGAAACTCACAGAGGGCCGTGGAAAGACAGGACAGAGGAGGTCCTGCAGGGGGAAGGCTGGGCAGCTTATCCTTGCCTCAGCCACACACCAGCCCTGCAAGAGGCCAGGGTTCACACAGCCATGGGAGAAGAGTGGGAACAGGTGGGCCTCCTGGGGGCAGAGCTTGGTGGTGGGGGAGGGGCTAGGGTTGGGATGCATGGAGGGCCACTGTGCTGGGAGTGGAGAGCATGGTTCTAGCTTGGCTCTGCCACCACCTGATCACCTCCCAAGGGAAGCAGGTCCCTTCCTATCTCCTTAGTTTCCCCAACTGTAATGTGACAGGCTTTACCACGATGCTCTTAGGGAAATTTGCAGTTAGGGCCCTGGCATAGGATCTCTAAAGGTTCCATCTTTTGTGGATCATGGACCCCTTTAGGAAACTGAGGAGAGCATTAGACCCTCCATGCATGACAACCTTCTGCATAACAATTCCTGTGTGTTTGTGGACTCCCTAAGATCCCCTGTAGACCCAGGAGTCTGAGGTTCTAATCATGCTCATAAATAGAAAGCAATCACACCCGACCACCCCACCAGCCAGAAAACTGTAATAAAGGAAAAGAGAACGCTGGTTCTTTCAGCAGCAGCCATGGGCCCCACACAGACCAGCTGCTAATGAGTTTTGCTCCTGTTTGCTGATGGAGGACACTTGTAATAAAGTTTAATGTGGAAGAACAAGGTGCATTTAACCAAAGCTGTAAACATCTCTAATTCTATTTAAAACTATAGGGTGCAGTACATTAACATTTAACAATCAGACACTAAATTGGTGTGAGGCTAATCGAGCTGTGTTTATTAGAATGCAGGCACCAAGTCATCTTTTATCACTGACAACAGAAGGAGCAGGATACTACCCTGGCCACCTTCACACCCACCTTGTGCATTAATTAAGAATTTTCTCCAAATCACCACCCTATGGAAAGACACTGTTTGCTTTGGAGAAAATACGCTGAGCACAGCATTCAGATTCCCTGGCCAAGTATGTTAGCCTTTGTACACTTTGGGGATTGTTTCCCCAGCAAAACAAACCATTTTTTAAAATGTGAACTGTATAATTAATTCAGAATAAGCAAAGGCTGAACCTCTACTGTACTTGTCCTCTGCAGAGTTCACACTGCTGAGCCCTTCCTCCTTAGAGAAACTCCCAGGCGCAGCTTCCTCCCAGCCCCTCCCATGCCTCTGGCCTCTTGCTCTTCTGTAGTCTTCAGGCTCCTCGCCTGCTACTGGACCTGCCAGAGGCAGCTGCCTCCCCCACCACCCCCCCGCCCCACTCGGGCCTGGGCACCTTCCTTCCCATTAGACCACCTCTCCCTGGAGATTTTGTTCACTATCAGGGCTTTAGCTGTGACCTATATTCTGAGGACATCCCCATTTCCTCAGGAGTTCCAGATCCACATTTTCAGTTTCCATTTTTGTCACTTGAAGTGTGGTGGGGTGGGGTGGGGAGAGCATGGGCAGTCCCTGGGAGCTTGTTAGAAACACAGACCGCCAGGCCCTAAGTAGCCCGACTTCCTGACCAGAATCCACAGTTTAACAAGATCCAGGTGACTCGTGCACATGATCAAGTACAGGAGCACATGTCTTCTAGCCATCTGGACATCTCACTGCAGCTCAAGTTCAGCATGTCCACGATGAAGGCAGACCCTTCCTCTAAACCATGGATTTTTTCTGTTTTCCATCCCAGTGAACAGCTTCTGACCAGTGTGTGGGGTGGGGGCGGGCTGGGGGTGAGAGTCAACATCCTCACCATGTGGCTGGCTCACCTTATAACAGGCTCCAAATGTCATAGAGCTGGGTCCCCCAGACCCCGGTTTCCTGGGTCAGGATACTGGAAAGACATCATGTTCTATGTGGGAGCCAGTCTAAACGTAAGGGCCAGCACAGAAAGGCTCCCTCCAACATCCATGTGACAGGGCTCATTTGTGTCTCCTCCCCGAGCCCTCCCTTCCTGCTGCCAGTGCCACTCAATGTTGCTCCAGGCCTGCTGGCATCCCCATGCCAAACCTGAGGGCTTCCTTAGGAGAGCGAGACCCGAAGCCTGGCAGTCTCTCCACATTGAGCCAGTGTCTTCAGAGCCCCAAGAGGCCCACACAGAAGGTGCAAAATGTAGCCAGAGCTCGTGATTGCAAGTTCAATACTTGGATGTAAGTGGGCTCGTTGGGTGGTGACCCTCAGGGCAATTCTCTTGCTTCCCATGTTGGGAAGCCACTTCAATGCACACTGCTTTAGTCAGCAGCATTCTCTCTGTTGCAACCCGACTTGCTTGAACAAAACCAGGATTTAGATAGTAGAAAGCGGGGTAGTTCATTGAGTCAAAAGGTCTGGGGGGGCGAGGGGGGGCATTAGGGGCTGGGATCTGTGCTTCAAGACATTCTCCTCCCTGCTTCTCTCTCAGCATCTACTTCACTCTCCCAGGCTTCTCTGCTTGGGCAAGAGACATTGCTACAGGCAGATCTGAGTGGCATCCCAGCTTCGGTGCCAAAGGTGGAAGGGAGTTTCTTTCTCCCAAAGATTCTGGTTAGTGCGACGGGGCCTCATGCATGTTCTGGACCACTTCTGTGGTCTGGTGCATAAGCCCCATCTTAGCCCAGCTTAGGCAGCAGTCATGTACAATATATCAGGGCTGAGTGATGAACAAGCCCGTGAACAGTCCCAAAAAGTATCAACAGGTTTAATGTTTTATCCAAGTGAGTCCTTAGGCTTCTTGATGTGTGGGGTGACTCAGATGACTATGCATTAAAAAATATGAAGTGTCCAATGTCATTGTAATTCCAACAAGTATTTGACTGATTCTTGCTTGCCCTGTGAGCTAACAGAATGGTGATGCTAACAGAAGAGGTGATCTGAAAGGAATCCCAACCCTTTCCTCACACAAGGGCTTGCTTGGGGATACCCCTTTTCACCTTCTTGCTTCCTGCAATGATTCCATGCCATGCATGGCCTCAGCCAAAATTCACCAGCAAACCTGAGGGTACCTGTACTCTGCCTACAAGAGCCACTGCGTTCTGAGCAAGAGGCTCCTATTTGTTTTAACTTCATTTAAATGTACATACCATCGTGCATGTGGAAAACTGCTTATATACAGTTGGTCCATAGATGCCTTATAGTAAAATCAAAATGAAAAACTTTTCCTAATTTCTATTTGAATGATGTTTCCCCTTACTTACCCTTAGAAATATCAACACATGCTTAGTGGTGTATTAGAGAATGAATGAGTAGACCCAATTTTTAGGTTTACTATGAGTGTAACGTCAAGATTTATCACCCCAAGAGGCACCAGGTACAAGTCATCCATTGCTTCCAGTTCTGAGCAGAGCTTGCTCGGTTTGCTTCTGGAGATAATAGTAGGACAAGCTCAACTTCAGTGTCGCCAACAGCTTCCACAGCTCCTTCGGGAAGCACTTACAGGAGATGGTCTTGCAGCTTCCTTTTATACTCTACGGCAGCAGGTCCCCCACTTGCACATTTTAGTGTGTTTGTGCAGCTATGACCAGAGTTTTGAAGAGCCTGAATTTAATAACAATGACTTGTTAGACCACCTTATAGCTACCAGCTCTTAAAAGCTTGTGTTCTTAGTGAGTGTATTAATTTCCATGTGTGATGGCCCTAAGCTCCCACTGAACTTAAGGGGTGTGGGTGTGGGGGTGATTGAAGTTCAAGCCAGTTCTGCAGAAGCTTGGGGGGCTCCTACCCCATTGCCCTCTCCCATCATCTCCTCTTCACATGCCCCACTCTCCACTCCCACCTGGCACCCGCAAGGCCCCACTGGCCCATATAGCTCTTTGTGCAAATCAAGAAATTGTCCCCCTTCCTCAAAACACCATGTAACCATGTTCTGGAACATTGTCATGATCACATATGATATGATGCCTATGAGAGTTATGACGTGAATAATGTGCTAACCATAGAGCCTCTTTCCTAGAGAGATGCTTGGGGAAGTTCCAATGAGTTCTTCCAAATGGTCTTTCTTCCTCAAAAGCTGCGTGATTTATTAACTATCTTTGAAATCTAGCCGAGAGGGAGGGAACGAGATATAGGTGTAGGCCAGAGAGAATGACTTCCTCTTTGTAAAGTCAGGCTATTTTTGCCTCTGGAAAATCATTACCTGCTTTCAATTTGGACCCTTTCCAATAAACCTCGAGAGGCACTCACAACTCTCATGGGTCTTCGGGAATGATACTGTACAGCTAAGTTCATGGACAAGTATTTATATTTTAAAGTTACTGCAGTGAGAGCTTTATATAAGAAAGTTTTCATTCTGAAAATGCAAACTGGCTTTAGCATGAATGTTAGCACAGTGTATTTGTGTAGTAATTTATAGTGTCCAGAATCTTACATTAGTAATTAACCCATTTTAAGAGGTTAAGTCACTTTTATATAAACATGAGTCTGAGACAATTAGGGGATAAGAATCTTGACCAAGTTCAATTCACATGGCTATACAGAGGGGCACAACTCACACTCAAGGCTGTGTTTAAAATATATAATTTACCGCATATACACGGTCCATTACAAAACCAAACAATTTCTGTAGTGTGCAGTAAGTAACCACCCAGAGAGCACTCACACTGAAAGAAGCATCCTTAACAACAGTTGACTAGGTGGCCCTTTTAAAGAGTGGATCCGTCTTCAGTGAGGTCCTGGATGTCATTATGGGTCCACAGAGCAACTTCCCCACATATGTGTATGCAACACATCCCAGCCAGACCCCCACCCAAACCCATTAGAATTCACATGCAAAGTGAGTTGGGCAAGGCACTGTGAAGCACAAGGGTCTTTAGGAGACACTTTTCCAGCCTGGCTAGGACTTCCTACTCTCCTACCCTGGGGGAACCAGGCAAAAGACTGCTCTCACATGAGTGGCCTTGCAGTTGGGAGTTGGTAACCTTGGCACTTCCAAGAGGCACACTTCCTCTAGTGTGTCATTGATGGCAAATCCCCCTGCTCCTTTGGAAAAGGATGAGTAAGAACTTCTTGGAGAATGAAAGTTTCTATGACAGTTATACGTCCACGCTGCCCAAGGAGTGGGAGCCCTTTAGCATGGTGCTCTACTTATCCTATGGTCTTGGGTGATATGGCGGGTGGGGGAACAGGCACTGGGGTTTTCAGAGACAGTTGCTGTCCACTTAGACCTCAGACTTCCCCACAGACTGCCCTTAAATTGCCAGGGTCAATGCATCTATTTAAAACAAGAGATGCTGGCGATAAGCACTTTGCTCTGCCCTGGATGCTCTAGCAATGTTATCTGATCTTTTGAAAACCAATTAGTATATATCTACCATCTCACACTTTGGCCTATAATGGCATTTCCTCTAGCTATATTCTATAAGCTTGATATCACGGATACAGAAAGAGTAGAAGATTAAAATTAAGATAAAAAAATTAAAACCCAGAGAAAGAAGATGAAAACATGAAGGGTTTTGGCTCAGCAGAGAATCTTGTGCTCTCAGAATCAGAGTACTCACCCCTCAGGGCTCAGACTGAGAAAAATCTTGTCCCGGAATATTGGTCCAAGGGCTGTGGCACCTGCTCTTTTGCAGAGAAGAGCCTCGTACCTCTCTGAAGGCACCTGGAATGCCACAGGGGAGGGGCTCCCCACCACACAGAAGGCACAAGTGAAAATACAAAAATAAGGTTTCATAAATAACTGGGGGGGGGGCATGTATTAAATAGGACCACAGAAGAGGACAAGGCGTTACAGCTTGTTTTCCTCAAAAAGGATCTGGGCGTAGACAGTGCTGGTGGGGATGCCTTTGGCAGCCTGGTGGGGTTTGATCAGCTCCAGCTCAGCATAGGTCAAGTTTTCCTCAGCAATCTTTGGCTATAAGACAAAACACAACACAAGTCTAGCTGACCATGGGGAGTTCTGCATCATACATTCGTTCATTAGGCAAGCATTTGCATTTCATGTTGGGGATTCAAAGGGGGAACAAATAGACAAAAAACTTACAAGAATATATAAAATCTAAATATTGTAATAATATAGATCTCATCATATTATATAGAACACTATGTCCTGCACAGAGACACTATGATTTATTTTCAAGTCGACATAGAAACTAACAAAAATTGATTAAAAATTAGGCCACAAAGCAAATATTAATTCTGAAAAGTAAAAATAATCTAACAATCTCTGATCAAAAGAAAAAAATAAACATAGAGACAGAAGCAAGAAATCCTAGAAATTAATAAAACTGGAACACTACCATCTAGAAAATTTTAAAAATAACTTAATCTGTATAAAACTAAAATTTCAGAATATCTTGATAATAATGATAAAGAAAATACTATTTGCTAGAACCTAAAAAACACAGCACTCAGAGAACAAACATAGACTTAAATATTTATATTAAACAATAATTTATATTAAACAATATGAATTAAATGGATCAAACATCCAACTGTAAGAGTTAGAAAAAAGAACAAAATTAATGAAAAAAAAGCAAAAAAAAAAAAAAGGACCAATAAAATTAAAACCAGACTTTATGAATTAGAAAACAAAAAAACCCCAGTAGAATTAATAAAAACATCCAAAAGCTTGTGCTTGGAAAACAACAATAAAGGGCCAGCTGAGTGGCTCAGTTGGTCAAGAGCTCGCTCAAGAGTGTGAGCTCTGAGCAACAGCCTTTCGATTCCCAGCCCGAGCTGAGCAACCGCTGAGCTGCCAACAGGTGGCAGGAGGGCTCAGCTAAAAAAAACGAACAAACAAACAAAAACACCAATAAAACAAATAAACTGAAAAGTACATTAATCAAGATAAAAATGGAAAAAACAAACATGAATAAAATAGGAAATGAGAAATATAATGTAAATAAAATAGAATTTTAAATTAATAAAACTACTTTGCTCAACTTATCACACACACACAAAATTGAAGTACAGGATAACATGGGTAACGTTCCAGAAAAATATAAATTATAAATATTAACTCCAAAAAATATGAATGTATTAATTATCATCAAAAAAGAAATAAATGAAAGAAGGAAGGAGAGAAGGTAGGGAGGGAGGAAGGAAAAATATTATCGAAAAACTCTCTCTCAAGATACCAAAGAGTACTAATCTGATGGTGCCCAGGCAAAGAATTTCTAAAAAAAATGAAATTTCTTTAAGGAACAGATAATTCCAATGTGATTAAACTGATCCAGTGTATCAAAAAAAGAAGAAAAACTTCACCTATTTAACAATAATCTCACTTATTAATATAAATTTTAAATCAAATTTACTCAGAGGGAATGACGAAGTACATTAAAAGTTAGATAATCATGTTAATTTGATTTTATTTCAGGAATGCTAAGATGCTTCAATATTAGAAAAATCTCTTAATATAATTCATAATAGTAATAGATGAAAAATCATATTGTTATCTTCATAGATACTGTAAAGGCATCTAATAAAATTTAAAAATATTTGTGTTAAAATTTTTTTGAATAAAGTAGTCATAGTTTATTTTCTTACCATGATTAAGGACTTTATCATTGAAATAAATACTTGGTGATTCAATTCTAGTGGTATTAAAAATATAAAGCAGCAATCATTAAAACACTGTGTTACTGACAAAAAAATGAGTATATATACATCAGTGGGACTGATGAGAAAGTCAAGAAATTAACCCAAATATTATTTTTCAATCAATGGTGGTGGGATACTTGGGTAGCCATTTGAAAAATAAATTATATCCCTGTATAATTTTTCATACCAGAGACGTTCCGGATGAATAAAATATTTTAATGTGGAAAATAAACTCATAAAAGTGCTAGAATAATGTTTGGGAAAAGTCTAAAAAAATAATCTCAGCATATGGAATGTATTTTAAAGTATGATACAAAATCCAGAAGCAATAAAGAAAAGATATGGACATTTTCATTCTATATATGGCAAAATATTCTCTAAATAAAGTCAAAGGATAATTTAAAAAATGGGGAAAATAATTGTATCATATTAAAGGGTCTTACAATTCAAAACAGATAATGGCCAACAATCCATCAGAAAATTATGCAAAGAACAACAGACAGGACCAGTGAGTTTAGGGGGCAGGAAATACAAATGTCTGACACATGAAATACGAGTCAACCTCCACCATAATAATAGAATCATGATTTAAAATCACTTAGACATTAGTTTTTGTCTTTCAGGAGAACAAACTGATGGTTGCCAGAAGGAAGGAGGTTAGGGGGGATGGGTGAAAAAGGTGAAGGGGAATAAGAGGTACAAACTTGCAGTTAGAAAATAAATAAGTCATGGTGATGTAACATACAGCATGGGGAATGTAGTCAATAATATTGAAATGAATTTGCACAGTGACAGATGACTACTAGACTTCTTGTGGTGATCACACTGTAAGACATATAAACGTCAAATCACTGTGTCGTACACCTGAAACTGATACAATATGTATTCCAACTATACTTTAATAAATTTTTCTTAAAGATTGTCTAAGGGAAATAAGTCAGACAGAAAAAGTCTAGAGCTATACAATTTCACTCATATGTGGGCTATAAAACTGAAAGCAACAAATAAACAAGACAAACAACCAACCAAAAACTCATAGACAAAGCCAAGAGTTGAGTGGTTACCAGAGGGAAAGGAGGAGGTTGTGGAAGAGGGAAAAGGGTCAAATATTTGGTGATGGAAGGAGAACTGACTGGGTGGTGAGCACATAATGCAACATATAGATGATGTATTATAGAATTGTACACTTGAAACCTTTATAATTTTACTAACCAATGCCATCCCAATAAATTTAATAAAAATTATTTTTAAAATTGCCAGACAAAATAGAAAGAAACAGATTTTCCTATATATTGTTGGTGAAAGTGTTTATTGGTACAAGCAGAAATCTGGAAACCATTATATGAACATCAATAGGATGCTGGTGCATTCATTCAGTGGAGTATGTGCTACAGTCCTTAAATGATGGAGCTCTACGTGAACTGTACTTTTTATCATTTGTGTGCATGTGAGTAAATACATGTGTATATATTTATATGCTTGGAAAACCCTTGGAATCTGCTTGGAAACTCAAGAACCTGGTATCCAGGGTTCCCTCTGGGGAAGTGAACTGGATGACTGGAAGGAAACCTCCCCCATTATTATACACATCTGTTGATACCTTTGGAAATTTTATGGTAGGCACATGCATTTAAACAACATTAATTAATTTTAATTCATAGTTAGAAAAATAAAAGCCAGTCACTAATTTATAGTCATAAAAGACACAATGCTTTCATTTAAGCAGTGCTGTTTTTGTTTTTTGGCTTTGGCTGTGCTGTTGTTTTGTTTTGATTTTTGATCTTTTGGACTTATACCTTGGTTATCTCACCAAAATTCAGGACAAATAAACCATGTGCATCCAATTTCAGTTTCTTAAAAAGAATGCCAAAAGCCAAAAGCCTCCTTTCTTTTGAAGTGAAACATCATAATAGGAAACGAGAACAAGAGACAAAGAGAATGTGTCAAGAACTCCTTCCAGCCAGTAGGCACTGGTCAGGGCTGATTGCCAAGCAACCCCCACAGACTGTTCAGCCATTTTAAAACTTCAGGACATAAAAGTTCAGGACATTTATAGGGATGAGACTCTCCTTTTTGTCTTTTGACACTGAAAGTCTACATCGCTTCTCAGCCATCCATATCTTATAAGCCAACAAAAATCCTGTTTACATCTTGCCTTCGGTTTAATTACATTTCACATTATAATGATTCCATTTAGAAATGTCATGTGTCCTCAGATAAACATGAAAACCCAACTCATGTAAATTTTAGAGCCAAGACTTATGAAATCATATTGTCCAGGTGTTATATTACATTACCTTGAAATTGCATTGTTTTCTAGTGTAGATTATGTGTTTATTCTTAAGTTATTCCATTATGTTTGGATATGAAAAATAACACTGGCTTTCTCAATACAGGTCACTAGGCTGGCTTAGCTGGTGTGTTGTTTTCATACATTTTTATGATGTTCCTATAGTAAACATAATTTAATAAAGCCAAAGCACACTAAATAAATAATTGCATCTAGAAAAGCAATAAAAACAAATAAAATTAGTACTTTCATAAGTGGAAAGGTACTTCAATTACTGCTACAAGCACCAACCCCCCCATAAAATGTGTAGAATCATTTCCCTTATGCATATTTCTGGGATATAATAATTTGATTGAAGATATGAGGCAGCACACAGGAGGCTCCAAACTGAGAAGTGTATACAGTTTCCAACAGACGATGCATCATATCAGTCCTCGGCACCTTTAAAGGACCTACTGTTTCCTGGCGTGCACACTGGCCAGCTCCATCAACCATCTACTTAATTACATTCCCAGTTAGTTTAACTGGAAATCAATCCCTAAAGGCCAGTGAAAGGGGGCAAGTGTAGACTCCTACAAGTTGTCACCATGTCACCCTTCTTTGCTCTGATGTTTTAGCGGAAGATTTAGGTGCATTGAGAAGAAGCTTAAAGAAAAGTGTTGACATAACAGTAAGACTAGGTAAGACTCTAGAACTGGAAGTAAGGAGCAGAATGTAAAGGTTAAAGTGACTGCAATGGAGCAGAACCAGAGTGAGGGACCTGCTGTAGGACCCCACCTGGATTCCCAGTGATGTCTGAACTCTTGACAAACCCAGCCCGTGCTGGTTTAAGCTACGGCAATTGAAGGGTTGCCGTACAGCAAGTGGTCTCTGAAGAGGAATCAAAAATCTCTTCTGTTAGTTCCTTGTCATCTGCTGGCTCTCAAAATGGCCCTCTTCAAGCCCCTATCCTGCTCTTGGGGTGCAGGAAGTACAGAAATGTATGGGGCATTAGCACTCAGGACTACAATCTTAAATACTCC